CAAGGTGAGCCTGCCAAGGTCAGTCGGTGGTGGTGGCCGCTTGTGAAAGCCGCTCCCCCTGCTTGGTGCACACCTCCCCACCCCATCCCCATGATTGCCACACTCCTGGGCCCCCAGGGCCCCCATCCCAGTGTTGCAAGGTCCCGGTTGGGGTTTTGGGGGTGGAAAGGGGCCTCTTCACCTCCACCCCCTACCCTGCCCCAAGCCAGTGAGGGGACTATGGGATGGAGGGGGCCGTAGAGGAGATGCTGAGGCAACAACAGCCAGGGCTGGCGGAGGGCCCCGCACCTCCTCCTTGACAGGCCAGTCACTTCTCAGCCCCCAGCAGACAGACCTCCCCTCTCAGGACTCAGCCTGGGCTGCTTCAAGGTGGGAATGGTCCAACCTGGGCAGGCCTCCCTGCCGGTCTCTGTCAGCTCTCCTATCAGCAGGCCTGGCCTGGCCGCAGAAAAACTTTCACGGCGCATGAGAAATCCCTGAGGCTACCCCGTGGGGAGATGGCGGGTATTTTCAGAGGAAGAAGGCCGCAACTGGCCATGCATTCTGACCTCAGGAGCAGCGGAAGGGTCCCAGCACTTGGGAAAAGGCAAGCTTCCTGGCAGGGAGAGACCCACTGGCAGAGTTCAGCCTCCCTTCTCTTAGAAACAGGGATGTGAGGTAGGAGGAGGCGAGCCATACATAGAAGGGATCCCACACGTGCCCCCAAGCCAAGCTTCACCCCGAAGCTCCAAACTCTGCAAGCCCACCACACCTAGCACTGTCACCCCAGGCCAGGCTATCCAACCCTGCTGCAATCGGGACGGTTTGCAAAACGCCTGCGAGCTCCCGCCTTGTCGCTATCTGAGGTTAGGACTGTCCTCGGGAGATAAGCCCGGGCCCCACCCGCCGTCCCGAGAGAGACTGCCGGCTGCTGCAATCGGGACGGTTTGCAAAACCCCTGCTGGCTGAGCTCTGTCACCATCTGAGGTTAGGGCTGCGCCCCAAGATAAAGCCTAGCCCCGCCCACCGGCTCTGCCTTCCAGCCTCACCAGTGGCATGGCCAGGAGACAGAGCTCCTAGGAAGCCCACTCAGGGTCTGGAAGCCTTATTCAGGCCCAGTGAAGACCCCTGCTGCCCGCTCCTCCCCTTCTCCCTCCTCCCCTCCATCCCTAGCCTCATGTTCACACCAATCTCACTACCCTCCTCCCCGCTCCCTCTCCATCTACTCTCCTCACCTTCCATCTTCCATCCTCACACTTCCTCCTCCCTCACCTCCCTTCTACCTTCTCACCACACTCATTCATTCATTCATTTGCTCAAAAAATACTTAAATAACACTTACTCCAGGCCAAACAGTTTGCTTGTATATGGGAGCTACAGGAAAACAAGGAGGACAGTCCCTGCCCTTGTGGGGCTTACAGATTCGTGCGGGGGACAGACAAACATAATACCACAGATAAATACATAATCCCAAATTGTGGGCAGTGCTGTGTGGCAAAAAGACAGGGGTGACCAGCAGATAGTAACCAGGGTACCTGACTCAAATGTGAGGGTCGGGAAGGACTTCTTTGAGGAAGGAATGTATAAGCAGATCTAAAAGGTGAGTTGGAGTCAGTCAGTCAAAAAGCAGGGGTTCCCACAGAGCGAAGTGTTTGCAAAGGCCCCAGGCAGGTCCTTCCCAGTCACTGACAGAGGCTGGGGCAGGGTGGGCTAGACTGAGGGGGAGAGATCAGGTCAGAGAGAGGCTGAGGCCAGATCTCGCACCATGGGATCCAGAGCATCAGCAGGAGGAACCACCTTCCAAAGAAAGAGGACATTTCCTCTCCTAAGGAGAGAGAGGGGTGGCAGCAGACACAGATACAAATGCAGATAGGTCGGTTCTATCTGAGGCTGAGGCTGGCTTCTATCTTCACCGTGGAAGAAGTGACTGCAGTGACCGAGCAGGAGTCTCTGAGGAGGAGGCCTCAGGCTGTAAAATTCTAGTTGCTGAGATTTCTGACTTGGGAGCACCCAACTGAAGTCGATGATGACAGTCAAAGGGTGACAACAGTCTGTCCTGTGGGGTGATTTCCTTCAGTGACCCTTAGCTGCCAGGGAGCAAGGGTAAAGAAGACAAGTGTTGGTTTCATCTGGGCTTGGGGCTTCCCCGGGGAGGCGGGATGGGCAGGACCGGGAAGGGGAGTTGAAGGCACTTACAAAAGAGGGGTTTAGTGGTGAGCCTGGAAACTAAGGCAGATAAGGAGAGATGAAAAGACAGGAAGGGCCAGTGGTTCTTCAATGAGCTTATAGAACAGCTGCAGTGAACCGACTTGAGCAAACAAACCCCAAGGAAAGGAGATCATATCAGAGAGCGGGATGTTTGATTCAGTTATTTCATAGGTGCTGCAGTTTCTGGTGATGATAAGGCTCCCGTATGACCCTGGGAGTGGCTTGCTAAGGTGGAATGGAGAAGAATGTTCGAGATGAGAGGGGGAAGGAACTGAGAGGTCAGCGTGCTGGACGGAGCACCCGTATGGGTGATGACACCACCTAGGACGACTGCTCTGCTCAGCCCCATTCTCTCTCCACATCCCGCGTCCCACGCCCTCTCTTTCACCTCCGCTCCTTCCTCACAACATCCTCTCTCCTTATCCCTCTCATTTCCTGCCTCCACACCCTCTTTCTCACTTCCATCCCCGTCTTCTCTAACCTCCATTCTCCTCTCTAACCCCACCCTCTCTCACCGCCTTCATCCTCTCCTCATCTTCCTCATCCTGTTCTTCTCATCACAACGTTATTGCTCCTCCAAGCTATGCACTTGAGAAGCACCATTGCACGGTAGGTTAAAGCCTGTGCCCACGAGCCTAACTACGTGGGTTCAAATCCCACATTTACCACCCACCCACGCTGCCTAGTTTTGCTGTGCCTCGGTTGTAGAATCGAGACAATAATAATACCTAACTCTTAAGGTTGCCGAAAGAATCACAGGAGTCTCAAGCGCTGGGCACAATGTCTGGGCACAAAGGAAGTGCCAATAAAATGACTGTTAGTCTCACCCCCTCTCCCTGCTTCCTTTCTCTCTCCTCACTTTCATCTTCCACCTCCATCATCCCTCGAACCTACTTCATACCTCTTCAAAGAGGCAGAGATGAAACAGACTCAGCCCCTGCCCACAGTGTAGCAGGGAAACCAGCACAAAACTAAACGTCAGGAGAGTATAATAAATGCTACTTCAAAGATATGAAAGAAATGCCATTGGAGAACAGAGGACATGCACACTAACCCTGCCTTGGGAGTAAAGAAAAGTCTCAACAGGCAGATAACCTCTCAGCTGGATCTTAAAAGATGTGGAAGAATTTACCAGGCAAAGGCAGGAGAGAGGTATTTCAGCAGAACGAACACAAAGTGTTTCTTGTGCTGCTTCTCTGGAAGGTACGAAGCTCTGCACGCATGTGTCGTTAGGATGAGCCCCTCCCCCGGCAGGGGCCCGCCCTAGCTCAGCACGGCCACAAGGGGGCAGCAAAGCATCACGAGCAGCTGCAGACGCCGGCCGAAAAACCTGGAGACAGACTGGAATCTACCACACAAATCCTGACCACGAGGTTTTATTCCCACATTGGGCCGGTCCTGCCAGGACAAAAAAAGGTTTCTGGGTTTCTGACGCTTGGAGAAAAAGACTAGGTTGGTTTAGAGAAAGGACAAGAGTCCCCTAAAGATTTGTGCACATGTTCATAAGAACAGACTAGTCCTCCGCTGAGTTCAAATGTCTGTAGAATGTGTCCTCTCTACCTAGTATTTACTGTGAACCAGACACTGTTTCCCGCACTTTACTAAGATATTCACTTACTCCTCATAACAACCACGTCAGGTGAGTACAATCATCCCCATTTTGCAAACGGGAACACTGAGGCACTTGGCCAGAGCGACACAGACAGATGGCAGCAGGGTTGGTTTGGCTCCAGTTTGGATGCCTCCCTTGTCATCAGTAGTTCCAGCCACAGCTCTGGAAGGTAAAAGTATAAAACCCAGCCTCCTAGGAAGTCAGCAGTCCTTCTCTAAGCTCTAGTCCTTGTCTGTACTGATTGGCTTTGTTGCCTTACGTCATTTCAGCCCTGACCTGCCTCTTCCAAACTTAAGTGACAGGGTTGGGTTCTGTTCCTTCATCCTCAACCTGAAGACGAGGCCCTCTGGGCTGTGCCTAGTGCTGTGGACACAGCTGCCCCCAGGAAGCGGCTTATCCTGAAGGAGTCCAGGATGTGGAGGGAGAGCCACTAAGCCAACAATTATAACAGAGGATGACAAGTGTTGTGTTAGGAAAGGGAGAGGCCTCTCCCCCACAGGCAGGTGTGAAACGTAGGCAGGAGGTGCTAAGAAAGGCTTCCTAGAGTAATCATAGGGAAGGCAGGAATTAGGCAGGCCAGCCCGGAAGGAGGGGTGTCCAGGCAGGGAAGCAGGATGTGAAAGCACAGCGTGAGCAATGAAAATAAAGGGAGTTCCGAGAGTTCCGCGAGAACCTTTGAACATCTTCTATTAATGTCCATTTTAAGAGTTTGCTTTCCCTCCACAGCATGCCTGTAAGTGGCTTCTGTGAAGGTTCACAGAACTAACACAACAGCCTTTCATAGGAAGTGTCAGTCAACCAACATGTGTTTGTAGAGCACCTACGAAGTGCCCTACCCAGATGCTGGAGAGACCTCTGCTGGTTTAGAGTCCACCCAGAGGCAATATGAGGCCAGTAAAGTGCAGAAGCCCTGTTTGCCCATCTCCAGTGATAGGCAAGCACCTATAAAGCAAAGAGACCCCCCCCACACACACAGACAAACCACTATGATAACACCAATATTTTAGTTCTGGGAAGGTTTCGAGGTTGTCCACTCAGAACGGCAGGGGAGTGAGGATGAGAGATGGAAGATGGTTAGGAGAGTTCCTCCATAGACGAGGCAGGCTCCTCTTGGGGAAGGTCAGTTGAGGCCTCCAGAATGACACTGCCCGCCCCTCCCCCCACCCTTCCCGATTTCTGCCCCCCTGAGAGAAAGCTTTGGCCCGTGGTTCACATCCAGCCTCCTGGCAGGAACTGTAGATTTAGTCAACAACACTCAAATCTTGAAAACATAAGCAGGAGCGGTGGAGGGCTATGGAGAGAGGTGGTAAAGAGAGGAAAGGCAGAAGAAGCAAGGCAGGGGAAAAAGGGAGCCACAGACAGGATCTAGGGCAGACTCTGGAGAGACCCTTGAAGATGCTGCTGCTGCTGCTGCTCCTGGGAGCTGCCACGAGCAGATGTCTACACGACGAGACACAGCAGTCTGTGAGGCTTCTCAGGCCCCCTTTCTCCCAACTTCCTCTAAACTTCCGCTCCTCCTCCCTCATCCTCCCTGGCTCGCGTGATCCTCAACCCCTCCGAATCCAAACCTGCTACATAGGAGATCCTGTATCAGATGGAGCTTGGGATCCTGAGGGATACGGGATGAAAGGGGGATCTCGAGCCCTGGCTGCAGTGAGAGAGGCCGCTCAGCGACTCCAGGGTGTCCTAGCAGGTGAGTGGGGGAAAAGGAGTCAGGGAGGGCTGACAAGCAGAGGGCTAGGGAGGAAGACCACCACAGAAAGAACTGGATCTCTAAGATGTTGAGGTGAAATTGACCTCTCATCCCATTAAGTCCTTCCAGTTCGAGGACCCCTGCTTCTGAGTCGAGACCCTGCACAGTACTGCCATGCTGTCTGGGGAGACCCAGATGCCCCAAACTACCACAGGTGAGTTCATGTCATTGAGAATGTGTACAGTACCTCTTCAGGGGTCCCCAGAAACATCTCCAGCTCACCTACAGATATTCATTCTTGGCAGGTGCAGCCTCTTGAACCCAGGGTACAAAGGAGAGACTTGCCTGGGGGCAAAGGTGAGAGAAACGTCTCAGATCCGGGGATCTGAAGATTTCTAGGCTGCCTAGACCTCTCCAAGACCGCCAGCATCTAAATTACTTGATGTGCTTCCTGACAGTGCAGATTCCTGAGGCCCCTCTCCCCCAGCAGTTTCTTAGATCAGAGATGGGTTGGGGGAGGACTCCGTATTCTAACCAGCTGCCTAGGTGGCACTAAGGCAAGTTAAAGAGACTCTCTGCCCCTCACTCCTGGTACCAAGTGTCCTACTGCACTGTCTCCCAGTCCATCTGCTAAATTAGATGCTACATTCCACCCCTGGCCAGATCCCCGATGCCCATCTCCGTGGTTATGCCTTGTGGCCGGAGGCGGGTCCCCCACAACTTGTCCAGCCAGATGGGCCTGGGGTCCAAAACACCGATTTTCTCCTGTACGTGCGGGTTGCCCACACTTCCAAGTGCCATCGAGAGGTGAGGTTCAAATCAGATCCCTTTTCCCTGCTCTGCCTATCTTGATCTTAAATATCACGGGAAGGGGGAGGGAGCATAAAAGAAGTTTTTATTAAATTGTACTTATTTGGGGTAACTTGGGGCATGCTGATGAAGTTTGGGAGGGGGCTAAAAACCGTTCCCCAAGCCATCCCTTGGTCCCACCCTGCCGAGTTCCCTGGGCCTGCATTTTCAGGAAGGTTTCTTCTTCTTCTTCTTCTTTCTACCTCACTTCCCTCCTTTCCGCCCCTACCTTGTCTGGGCCCATCCACAGCCATCTATCATAGCCTATGCCGCCTGCTGCCAGCTGGACTCAGAAGACAGACCCCTTGCTGGTACCATTGTCTTCTGTGCCCAACATCTCACCAGCCCCAGCCTCAGCCATAGTGACATCGTTATGGTGACTGCTGCATGATGAATGGGAAGAAGCAAACAGGTTGGGGAGGGGGGCAGGTCACCCAGCTTCCCATGAAGTGGCAGGACCTACCAAGGATGGAATAGAAGCTGCCTCAAGCTCTAAGAAGAGCTGACTAGGCAGAGGGGCCACAGAGTGGCTGGTCAATCCCGCTGCAAATCCAGTCTTCCCTTCTCTGTGCCATTTGTCCTCAGGCTACACTACATGAATTGCTCCATGCCCTGGGTTTCTCTGGACAGCTCTTCAAGAAGTGGCGGGATTGCCCCTCAGGACCCAGTGGTAAAGGAGAGGTCTTCCCACAAGGTCAACCAGAGGGAATCACTACTATCTCATGACCTCCTTCCTTCTAATTCTACCTCACCCTTCCTAAGATTTCCTCTCCTCATATTGCCTTCTCCCCTTGCGCGACTCAGTTAGAGAGAACTGTTCTACAAGGCAACAAGTGACAAGGCGAGATGAGTGGGGACAGCTGCTTCTCACCACCCCAACTGTTAGCCGCAGCCTGGCCAAACACTTGGGAGTGCTAGGGGTCTCACCAGGGGTCCCCTTGGAAGAAGAGGTGAGAATGAGAATACCTTGCGGGGCGGGATGGAAGGTAGAGGGAGTAGCTGGTGGCAACCAGCTACCTCCTCCAGCAGGGCTCACTGTCTTCACACTGGGAGGCCCGGCTGCTCCAAGGCTCTGTGATGATTGCCACCTTCGATGGTGCCCAGCGCACTCGACTCGACCCTATCACCCTGGCTGCCTTCAAAGACTCAGGCTGGTACCAAGTCAACCACAGTGCTGCCGAGGAGCTTTTGTGGGGCCAGGGTGAGAAGTCAGGGGGAACTGCAGAGGGACACTCATGACCCAGGTCAGAGAGAGATTGGAGAAGATTGTCTGCTGTTCAGGTGTAACTGAAGCTGTAAGCATAGCCGGCACTGAAGGATGTTTGGGGCTCTCTTTGTTCTGAGGGTTCTTTCTCTCTCGTCCTATCTCTCAAGCAGGATCTGGCCTGGAATTTGGTCTGGTGACCACCTGTGGGACCGACTCCTCAGACTTCTTCTGTACTGGCAGGTGTGTGCAGAGCGGTTGAGGGGCTGTCCAGCTGTCAGTGATCCCCTTGTCACACTACCATCCCTTCCACACAGTGGGCTGGGCTGCCACTACCTGCACCTGGACAAGGGAAGCTGCTCCTCAGACCCCACGCTGGAAGGCTGCCGCATGTTCAAGCCCTTGGCCAATGGGGTGAGTGGACTAGAGAACAGAGAATGAAACCAAGTGGGCCTAGAGAGGAGTCAACTTCTACAACATCCAGACAAACACTCTTCCCTCTTCTGCCCTGCCCTTCAGAGTGAATGCTGGAAGAAGGAAAATGGAGTCCCGCCTGGGGCAGAGAATCCCCATGGGGAGATCTACCATTCCCAGAGTCGTTGCTTCCTTGCCAACCTCACTTCACAACTGCTCCCTGGGGAGAAGACCAGGCAACCCTCTCAGATCCCAGCCCCGAAGGAAGTGGAGCTCGCAGGCCGCTGCTACTTACATCATTGCACAGAGAGGGGAGCATACAAGGTGCAGGCAGAGGGCTCACCCTGGGCCTCATGCCTTCCAGGAAAGGCTATTCAGGTGCGTGTCACACGTGAAAGAGCCACAGCACACGGGCAAAAAGAAATGCTCATATGGTGGTACTATCCCTGCTTCGATGTTCTTTTTCTTTTTACCAAGTACCCACTGAGTCCATGACTCTGATGTAGACTGTACATTTTCCTTAGAAGGAGGGCTTGAGCAAGTAACTGATGCTATAACTATACCCTGCTGCACATTTCCTTGCAGATACCTGGGTACTATGGTCTTCTCTTCTGTCCCCGGGGTCGGCTGTGTCAGACTAATGGAGGTATCGATGCTGCTACTTCCCCACCTGTCAGTCCTTCAACCCAAGACCTGGTATTCCAGCTGGCTTTAGGATTAGCTGGGCCCCCAGACCACTCTCTAGGGAAGGAAGAGCGAGAAGAGTTGACTGAAGCAGTCCTACAGGCTCTGGTGAGCAGAGGAGGCACTGGCAGGTAAAGGGACGATTCAGGCTGAGGCTTTATACAATGGGCTAGGGAGAATGCTTACATCCTTTACTTCATAACTGTCCTCAGAAGACTTCCTGCTCATCCTACTCCTAAGCCTGCATGTGTCATGAGATGGACTCTTCCAGGGACTGTCCCTCCATTAAGAGATCCAAATGTCCACTTAGGTGCTACTTCCATGGCCCCTTGATTACCACTAGCCTGCTGTTCACTGTGCATATGTGGAAGTCCCCTGGCTGTCAAGGGCCTTCGGTTGGTCTGCTGCACAGGACCTTGACCCTGACTCTCCAGAAGCAGCCTCTAGAAGTATATTATGGAGGAGCCAGCTTTACCACGGAACACAGCAAGTAATATTCCAAATAATTTTCCTTCAAATTCCTGGACTCTAGATGTTTGAAATTACATTTATTAAGCACTCACTTACGTGTATACTGTCCTAGACAAGACTATTTATTATTTCAGAAGGATCCCTGACTAACAGGGCCACCTCTCCCTCCCACAATAATGGAGTTCCCCCATCTCTAGGCCATCGGGATCCTAGTGCCCTTCCTTTCTTAAGCACTACCCAGGCACCATGTCTAGCAACCTAAACACTATAGTCTCTTTCCTTAAGCCACTTCCCTCAATGTCTAGTTAGGTCACCTTCCAAAAACTTAAGTTGCTGGAAGACTTGGATCTTGGTCTTATTCCTACTTTTAGGTTCTATATTCCTCTTACTGATTTCCTGTTTGGCTGTTTGGATGAAGCAGGGTTTCATGAGTTCTTTGTATTACAATAAAGGTAAAGCCCTTCACCTCCTAAGCTTGGGCATTATTCCAGGCCAAATATTACCTCTATGTTCCTAGGTTTCTGGTTACCTCGGACCATAATCCTTCCATGACCTATGTAGGTCTGTCCATGGGACTCTGCCTAATGCTGCTTCTCCTGGTGGGTGCACTGGGAACAGTGGCCTATAAGAAACGAGCTACTCTTCAGGTGGGACCATCTGCCCCTTACCATTCACCAGGGCTCCAAAGCACAACAAGCAGCCCAGCTGGAGGAATGAGGGAGGTGTGATATTACCCAGAGCATGGTGGGAGGCAGGATAGAGATTATTTTCTTGGGAGACACCCAGATGGAAAGTTGATCTATTGTCTACACTTAAGTTCTACTTTTCTCAGAGTGCCCTTCTCTGGATATCAACTTTATATTAGCTTTGCAATGAAAAAGAAGTACAGACTCATGGTTTTGAAGATTCATTCTTTATTTTGATAGAAAAAAATAAACTCTTTAACCTGTAAAGAGTGTCACTTGTTTTCACATTGTTGTAGAGCAAATTTACAGAATAGGGACATCTGCTACCAGCTCCAAGGACAGCAAATATGCTTTAGAAAAAAAGGCACTGCCATTTGGAGTCAAACAAACATCAGTATGGAGAAGTGTGTAGTAACCAATTATCTCCCTCTTCTGATTTTTCCATAATTTTACTGAATCATCACTAGGAAAGCTGGTGGATGGGATGTCACATAATTATGCCAGACTCTGGTAAGAGTGGTGAAGCCAGTCATCTGAATCCAGCTAAGTTACAAAACGTGACTTATTATCCTTCTCTCTTGTTTCTGGAGGAGGAGGGCTCTACTTTAAACCCCCCATGGGCCAGCAGTAGGCTTGAGTTATAAAGTGTAGGTTCCTTTGGTTATAGTTACAAAAGAAGCCATTAAATTCTTGAGGGTCTGTCGCTTGCAAAGAAGCAAGCTAGGAGGCAGATAGCTGATCTGGATTTGCTTAGATGGAGAACATGTACACCAGGAGTCCAGTTGATAGGCTGTTAATGTTGAAGTAACCAGGCCTGTACTGGTCAGTGAGTTCAGTCAGCTGATCGGGGTACCATCCCCAGACCTTTAAGTGACACATTTGAACTTCTCATTGTATAGTTGTGGCCTTGGCTCCAACAGCTATGGTTATATTCTTTGATTTTAATGCCTATCAGTCTTTACCAGCTGTAGCAGCCACTGCTTGGTAAAACTTTGCCACGAAGTCTGGCTCACTGACCTCCAGCTGCCTCACAAATTCATTGCGCTCCTGCTCTGCCCAACCTCGAAACCACTGATCCCAAAGACGTAGTTGGCACTCAAAGATACAAGGTGGTCGGTTTGCTCCAGACACACTAAGCTGCTCCAGACCTTCCAGCAGTGGCTGTAATTTTCCTGGCACTGCCTTAGCTACCAGGTCCTGTAGGAAACGTTCACGCTGGGGACCTGACCAACTGGCAAACCAGTGAAGAATACACTTCATCTCCTGGGAAGTGACGTAAGACATTGGGGGAGGGGAAGAGTTAGTAATATTGTCTGGCACCGAGGGTAAGGGAGAAGGGAAGGAGAGCGGCATTGAAGAGGAAGATGACTCCAATGGCATCCTGAAACATAAAAGCACTGTTATGTACTCTCTAAACAGAACAAAGTACAACTTCCCAACAACAAGGAATCTTATCACGTCAATCAGCATTTACAAAGAAAATTAGTTTTCACCAATTCGATCTATAGGAAAACAGCAGAGTCCTTTATTTAGACTATCATCCAACTACTTTAGAGAAGTCACCCAAGAATAACTTCATTTCATCTATGCCAACCTTCCTCTCCCTTTTTCAAACCCGCCCCAACCACTGCTTCCCGCCATCACTCTTATAAAGAATCTAAAAATAACCAACACATTTCTTACTTATTCTCTCCTGCCTACTTCTATGTTCCAGGTCGAGTAAAGAAAAAAAACCATGATTAATGTTGGTCCACTACCTCCTCCCTAAATGAAAAAAGGTATATGTTTAAATCTAGTGCACGCAACTGCTCAGGGCCTAGAGGCTAATCATTCCAGAGCTAGCAACAGTGGGAAAAACAAGAAAAAAACCTCATATATGATGAAAGAGGCTTCTTGGCAATGTGCATAGAGCATCTGAAATACTCCAAGAACTTCATAACATCCATTACTTCCTTACATTTCCTGTAAAGCCACAGGAAAAATTAAAGAGCAGAGTGAGGGCGCCTCTCCCAAAATAAAATAACACAGTAAGAAAAACAGGTGAAGCCACGTGTTTGTTCAAGACTGAAAAAAGAGTCTAGTTGGTTTGGTGGCTTAGGGATCTGACAAGTGTTATACTGCTGTAGGTGTGCGGCAATTCCTGTCTTAGAACAATTTTCCTTAACGTCTGTTATAAATGCCTGTTGACGCCGACAGTGATTTGCATCACTAATACAACTGGATGGTCAGCCAACTTGAATAGTTGTCGAGTCCCACAGTGTGAATTTCTAACAATGAAAACCTGAAACTACTTGTCTACGACCTATTTTACTGTTTGTGTTTCTTCTGCTGCAAGTTGGAGTATTTGTAGTGACAAAGAAAGGAACCTCTAGGCAACTAACATCAGTTCAGTACCAACACAGTCCAGGGTGGCTGCCTTTTTCACAATGGCCCTACAAAAAGCAATTCCTCCTGAAGGAACTTTACTCCCTCATTCGGAGAAACGAAGAACTTTTTCCGAGTCTTGCGACATGGCTTCCACGGCAAACTCAAGTTCAATGATCACGAACTAGTTCACAGTGTGGGTCCAAACACACGGCGCTGCCACTTGCCCCTTTACAAGCCACGGAGCCTGGCATTCCGAGGTCCCAAGGAGCAACGCAGCCTTAGACGGGAGCGGCGGGGATTCAGAGGATGGGAGGCGGCAGCTGTTTCCGCAGGGAAGAGAGCAGGAGGCTTGCCCTACCAGGGTAACCCGCACACCCCGAGTCTGGCCCGGCCCAGGGAGGGACTTCTACCCCGCTTACCTCCCTTTTCTTCTCACAGGGCACCGGGAGACCGCCACAAGAGAACTTAGACTCCGACTACGGCCGCCGCTTCCATGTTTCCTGAAAACCCAAAGCAGGGCCAGCCGGGCAGCCCACGCACTTCCGCTCCCGGACCAGCCCCAAACACCCAAGCGCCTTAGCGCCTCAGCGCCTCAGCCCTAGGTCCGGAGATAGCCGAGTAACCCCGATTATGGTTATGCCAGAGTCGAGGGCTTCCGAACATATTCGATTCAAGGCCTCGGTACGACGAAGATAACCGAGCTCTGAAGGCAGAGGGAAGGACGGGGAGAGGCTGGGTAGATGGAAAGAACCGATTGGTGCCGATGTGGAGACGGAAATACCCGAGCAGTTCCGGAGGAATCCGGGGAGTTCTGAGTGGTAATCGAGGGGTTGACTATGGCAGTGGGCGGGGTCGGCTCAGTACGTTCGAAGGGCGTTGGCGGAAATTACCGAAGATGCCCGAAGCCGTCGGGACGGACCCGAGTACCTCACGCAAGATGGCGGAGCTGGAGGAGGTGACTCTGGACGGGAAGCCTCTTCAGGCGCTGCGGGTGACCGACCTGAAGGCCGCGCTGGAGCAGCGAGGCCTAGCCAAGAGCGGGCAAAAGAGTGCCCTGGTCAAGCGGCTCAAAGGGGTGAGGAGACGGCGTTGCTGGGGTGTCGGAGGGGAGCGGACCCGGTAGAGACGAGTCTCTGCCGCGGCGCAGGCGCAGTATCCGGGCTCGGCGCGAGCTCGCTCAGGCCGCCAGCGCGAGCCTCCGGATCCGCGCGCACGGGGGTTGGGGAGGCTCGCGCTGGAACAGAGATAGCGCCGGTTCCCGCCTTAACGGCAGCGGCGCGAGCCCAAAATGGGAGGGTGCGCGCTACTCTCCCGGAGTGTCTTAAGCTCCTTCCTCCTTCCCCCACCCGCTCCTTGTTTGTGTCTGTGGTTTCGGCGCATGCGCTGCAGAAGGAGTTAAATCCCACTACAACCACCGGCGTTGCTGGCCTGAGGGGGGCGAGTTGGGCTGGGTCGGAGTTAGGGGTATGGTTGGGCGGAGGGCTTGGTGGGGTTGGTATCGGTATCCGGAAGAATAGGACTGGGGTAGGGTAAAATGTCTGCTTGATTAGATTAGGAGGTGAGATGAAGAGAAGACTTGACGCAAAGGGACTTGTTTAGAGAGGGGTGTATAATTTATAGGGCATCCAGAAGCAGTTTGGGGTGGATAAGAGTTTGGTGAATATTGGTGAGAGACGTCAGGCAGCTTGATATACGTTGGGTGTGTTGAATCGGTTTGAGGAGATTAAGATCGGATTGTCTTGAGAGGGGTGGGTGATTTGTGTGTACCTATACGTGTGGTGTAAACGGAGAGAAGGTGAGGATGTCTTGGTGTTAATTACGGTTAGTTAGGATACGTGGTGGGTAGTACAGATTAGGGCTGGGTTGGCTCAAGGGTTAAATTGGCAGACCGTCTCTTATACAGAAGCTGACGGTTTCTTGTGTGTGTGAGGATTGGGTCAGACCACAGTTTACAGAGTCTGTGGTCATTTTGTTCTGTAGCCTTTTCTTTGAAATTTTTATAAATTTGATAAATCTAGGTGCCACTCTGTTGGAAACAATACACGTTCACTTAGCTAGATCTAGTCTTGGGTAACTGTTTGACCAAGTAATTCAATCACGCCAAAATCAGCAGCCCCATGTTGGTTTCATGTATTTGAAGCTGATTGGAGTATTTGAAGTGATTTTACCTGCATGGCCAGATTGGGAAGGGGGCACTAGTCAGAAGTGCAAAAGATAATAGGCATCATAGTACTGGTTCTGTCACTGTCACTGATTTTATTGCATTGCCAGGTCACTGATTTTCTCTGTGTGCCTGCATCTGTACATTTTGGAGCAGTAACCATGGCTACCTTTAAGGGTTTTCTGAAGATGAATGAGAACAGTATTAGTAAAGGGCTTTTAGGTGCCGGGAAAAGGAGTACAGTTTGAGTGTGTCTGGTTAGTCATTGCATTTAATGAAGAGCTTGGGGGAGGGGTGGGTGTTTTTTCCCTTGGTTTCTGACTTTTGCCCTTCTCTGTACCAGGCTCTAATGCTAGAAAATTTACAGAAACACTCAACACCCCATGCTGCATTCCAGCCAAATTCCCAGGTAAGAAAGAAGGTTCATTAGATGTGGGCTCTTTGAATGAACAGACACATGGAAGGACATGGTGTTGTGTGTTAGGTGCTTAATTCCCCACCAATATTTTCCTAACTTCCCTGGGTCAAAAATGTTCTCATACCAGGACAGTTGAATTCTAATAAAGGATTCAAGAACAGAATCAGAGGAGCTATTAGTTAATTTCTGGTATTTGAAATGGTGTGTGCAGAGAGACGGGGCTCCAGTTAAGTGTAGTATAGGAATCTGAAGTCATTTATTTGCCATTGATTTTGGAAAAGTAGTTGATGTCTTTGAATGTAGATATGAAGTAGACAATGAGTAGGGCAGTGTAGGAAAATACTTGCTGATCAAGAACTCTTGTGTTGACAGAGATTTTCCAAAACTTCAATCCTTTGGAAATACCCACCATTATTAGTGTTAATACTAACTATGCAGTTACTCCTAAAAATCATTAGTTGCTCTTTTACTTAGGGCAAGAAACTTAACCTTTGGAGACCTTGGTTTCCTCAGTTCTCCTATATGTAATATGAGAAAAGGTTGGACTAGATCCATAGTCGTATAGCTGTTCTCTTGGGGTTTTTGTGGAGCTGCTTTTAGGGACTTCCTAGGGAAGATGCCTTCTTTCCAAGTGAGCAGGAGTTCATGCTCTCCTCTTAAAGTAGGTTGGGTCTGCTTTTATCTGCTTTGTATATTGAGTTACTGTAAGATTTCTTTAGGAGAAATCATTCCACAATTTTTTTAAAAAAACTAAAATTCTTAGCATGATCTCTTAAGATTCTTTTCAGCTTTTAGAATCTTTTCATTATAGTGTGTCATGCACTTAAAGGAAAAATCCGGGTCTTTGTTAGGGCAGTGGTGTGCAGCTCTGGTCCTAGATGAAGTCCCAAGATACTGTGGGAAGAGAGCCTTCCTACTTCCTTGTTATCACCTCATTAAGCTGTAAGCATCATAATCTAGCTAGCTTACAGAGCTTTAGTGAAGTACTTTAACAAGCATAAGAAACTGCATAAGCTAATCCGTTTATGATTATATTTCTGATGCCTGTTGCATTTTAGTCTTTGAAACTTTGCTTTTATTAACATAGGATTTTTGCAGTGAACACGTATATTCTCTAATACACAAGTAACCCACATTTTGTCAATGTCCATTGAGTACCAAGACACTCATCTCTACTTTAGGTGAAGATAAGCGTTTAAAAGTGCTTAGGAAAGATGAATAATAGACTAATAACATAGAAGGTATTTATTCAGATTTTTTTCTTTTTTCTGGAGCTCTAGTAGGACTTGCTAAGCAAGAAGCTTCTTGAGAGGAAGACTTGTGAAGAGAAAGCTGAAGGGCAAAAGAGTGATGTGGGAGTCTCTGTTTCAGACTAAAATGGGAAAAGGGATTAAGCTCCTGGATTTTAAGTATTGTTACCAAGGATTTCTTCTCAGCCAAAGAAAATGGAATTAGAACTCTGTGTAAAAGCTGAATGGACACCCCTTTTCTTAGTCTCTTGCTTTCGTACTTTTAAGTACTGTACTGGGATTTTGGGGATGTTTGACAGAATATTTCCTGGGTACTTGAAGATTGATCTTGTGTATCAACAAAAGATAAACTAGTGCTTTTTTCCTTTCAGTTTTTGATATTACTAAAAGGAAAAATTAGATTATCTTTAGGGAATATTTTAGATTACCTGAAAATTTAGATTAAAAAGCATAATTTTATAGGAATTTTGATTTAAGTTATTAGTGCATCACTCTTTGGTTGGGAACTGAGTATTTAAAGTAAAAAATTGTGTGCAGTTTCTCTTCTTGCCATCTTTTATGAATCATAGGGCTGTTTAGTTTGGTCCTCAGCATAGGACTAGCTTAGAAAAGGGCCTACCAACATTTTGATTACCTTTCTTAGGTCCAAATGTAAGGGGTAGACCTTTGCTCCATGGATTTTTCTTCCTTGCATTTTCCTGGTTTGCTTTCCTAGACTTTCTTTTTCCATGTCCTCTACACAGATTGGTGAGGAAATGAGCCAGAACAGTTTCATAAAGCAGTATCTGGAAAAGCAGCAGGAGCTACTTAGGCAGCGTCTGGAACGTGAAGCTCGAGAAGCTGCAGAACTTGAAGGTAAGCCCAGATTGTCTCTTCTTACAAGGAGTTTTTGGTTCTTATTCCTGTCATTGTGTAAATGGGCCTGTTTAACTAGGCAATTTCAAGAATAAGTCAGACTGAGATTGCTGCTTACTTGCTTTGGTAGTTTATGGAGCCAAGTGAGTTACTATTTACCTTTTATCAGGGAAGAAGACACTTAATTGGACTATCTTGTTAGAAGAGGATTCCTGCCAACAGGAAGAGTTATAAGTAAATTAAGCTACCCTTTAGATGAGGTAGAGCTTAATCCTAGGGAGTTTTTCTCTATGTACAGTGCTCTTTTTAGTATATATTCTGTATCTGTGACTTTGCCTGACCTCCTTCACTCCTCTACATATTCCCACATGCTGAGCCCTTCACTCCCTCCCTGCCCCGACCCAATCTGTGCTTTGCAGAAGCTTCAGCTGAGTCGGAGGACGAGATGATCCATCCTGAGGGAGTGGCTTCCCTGCTGCCTCCTGACTTTCAGAGCAGCCTGGAGAGACCAGAGCTGGAGCTCAGCAGACATTCGCCCAGTACGTATCTCCCTCCCCACTGTGCTGTTTTGTCAATCCTGCATAGTTGGTGGGGGGAGGTAGTAAGCCTCCATTAAAGTCCCAGTGAAATTCTGTGACATTGATATTTGACATCTGTTTTTTGTGAAAATTATGTCCTTTTCGAAGTCTGCTTTCACCCCTATGTTGTGTTAACCTCTGAGTGTCTTTTAAGGCCGTATGATTTTTCTTCTCATCTGTACCTCTTTAACCTCCTCTATCTCTGAATTTAGCAATAGTCTCAACTCTTTTTCATCTCTTCACCAGTTGTATATATTACGTGTTACACACCCAGTCATCCCTCCAAATGGGCATCTGCTACAGTTTAATT